TCTGATTGTTGGTTGTATTTGAAATTTATTTCTGCTTCTTTGCGTTTTTGGATTATTAATTACGCTGACACTTTGGGTCTGCGCTAATGAGCACCGAAATAGAATTTTTCCATAATTTGGCTTCTGTCTATAAGAATATCTTGGATTCGTATTTATGTTTCGTGGACAAGCGAGCCAAGCACCGCCCGCCTGCTCTGCTCCGCCCGCCCCCAACTGCACAATTTATGCAAATGATGCTCGTTGGGCAAACATAACCTCATTTTGCCTGGCCCAGCTCCAATATAGAACGCTAGATGTCGCTGTTGTTTCTGCTGATGCTGCTGTTGCTGCTGCTGTTGCTGTAGATGCTGTTGGCCATTCGCCTGGCACTTACCTCTACACTACACTACACGTCCATGAAAAATGATTATAAGTGGGTCACAGGATATGCAAATGTTTCTTTTTCACGCTCAGCTTACGACAATGCCAGCATGGAGTGAACTGGAGCACAGCTGCTGTGCCGTCCGCCAGAGGGCGTTGCCATGGGCGGCAGGTGTTGGGCCACTCTTGAGTTATATATGTGGCCCGTCGACTATACAACTACGTACTTGGCAGGACATTTTGCAAATGCAACTGAAAGTTTGCCAAGAAAATGGTGAAAGTTTTTTGCGCTTTCGTATTTTATATCCGCCAGCGACGCCAGCTGCAAGTTGGCAGTTGCAACTTTAATTTCCATAGAGGAGCCCAGCGGGCGCTGACACGCAACATGAACACCAATGTGAGCAAATGTGAGCGAACAGTTCAGCAATTGGCCAAGGACAACAAGTAAAAAACAAGGAAAAGAGCAACAACAATGCCTAAAGTTACATTTGATTTAATTTTCTTTGTCAGTTTCAAGAATTTGCCGAAACCAAACGCGCAACGCATGAAAACTAATCAAAATTGCGCTTGTCCTGGGACAAGAACTTCCCTCTCCACTTCCCTATTACACATTGACCCCGTGTCTCAGCCAGGATGCTGCCGGCTATTTGCGCTTTTCTCGTTTGCTTCCTGACACATGCACATGTCCTGTGAACTGTCCCCGAGTGCAAGTTTATTTAGCTTTTTACCATGCCCTCGCAAGTCAAATGCTTAAAATGTGTCACTAGTTTTGTCATTTGCTTATTTATTTCTGTTATGTTTTTATTTTTATTCAGTTTTTACTGCAAATGCAGAAATAAATATAATACAGATTTCAGAAATGTGTGTGCATTCTCCCAACTGGACAAGCTTTGTGCTGCGTTTTGGACATTGAAATTGAAATAAAACTGCAGACAAATCCTTGGCTTGTGCATGGAATGCAAAATGAAAAGTTAACAATTGATAACGAAATATGCATTTTGAACCCACAACTCAAATGAAATCCAAAAAAAAAGAAGGCAAACATTACAAGTATTTAAATAATCCATATATTAAAATATTAGCAAGACAAACATGAGGTACATTTACTGATTAATAGAAGTAAAAAAATGGGCATGTTTTTAGCATCTGTCAGACTATTTATAAGATTAAAGTTTGGCAAAATCAAAGCAAAAAAAAAATCAAAGCTAAAGTTCTACCTGTTGTTTCTTTTATTCGCTAACAAAGCCAAACATTTAAAAAATACTTTACTTTATCAAAAAAAAAAAATATTACTTTTTTTTAAACATTTAAGTGCTTAAGCCAGATCCTGAAAACAAAAACTTAAAAGCTACGTAGCTGAACCGCAGAGCTCTGATGACCGAAAACCAAGCCGTGCCCCAGTCCCGAGTTTACCCGCAGCTCCGACACGGATTTTTTTTTGTTTTGTAGCGCTTCTTTAAGCTGCAAACATTTTGCTTAGTTTGGCAAAAACACGCAGCGACCATTTTTCATATTTTCATTTATAAATTTATTATAAAGCCAACAGCAGCATCAACAGCAGCAGCAGTGAGAGCAACAGCTACTCTTGGCTGTTGGATGGGCTTAATAGCAACCATTTTCCCCCTGCATCCGCCGAGACCAATGCCAGCAATGCTGCCGCTTGCCACAACCCAACCCACTCTGGCAGTGCTCTGAGCTGCGGTTTAGAGCAACGGCTACTTTGGCATTTATTTTAAATTATAGTTCGCAGTAATAACTAATGCTCAGAGAGCAGTTGCTGTTGTTGGTTATTGCTGCGGCCAGTTGCTGTTTGTTGTTGTCGACTGCCATGTACAGAAATTATAGACATTTTGGTCTGGGGCTTGTGTGTAGTTTTTGTCCGTTTAATGACAGTATTTGCGAGCTATGCCAAAGTTCTATGGCAGCTTGACATGAGATTCTGGTCGGGTTTTGGGGGAGGGCAGTTTCAATTAAATTTACTGCAAAATGAATGTGGATTAAACACAGTTTGACAAGTCATCTGCATAATTATGAAAATTCCCCAGGAAACCAGTTGACATTTTCCAGCCACTAATTGAAAATTCCTCAAGTCAAGTTAAAGCTGTCAAGCAGCTGGCAAGTTTCTCGCCAATTTCCGTGAACAACAGTGCCAATCGAATGTGTTGTGCGAACGAATTTTCACCATCATCGACAATCGGCCCCATTGGGCCCCACAGCATTTGTGCCCTAATGGCCAAACACGCCTACCCTCCACTAACCTACAACCCGCCCACACATCAGTAAATATGAATGAGTTCCAGTTAATGAAATATTGAAATATGAATAGACAAGCTCGCCTTCGTACACTCCAAAGCAATCATATGTCCATCAAGCAAAACTTTGCACAGTGCCTGCCAAAGCCAAAAGGAAACTTAATCAAGGAAAATGATTAGATAGGACTACCACATACCCTACATCAATGCTGAAATGGGTACACAAAGCTATTTTGTGTGAACAAAATGCAGTTAAATTTTTTGGTATTAATTTGTGTTGGAAATTACCTGGCTTTATACGGGTTGTACAGTTATCTAAAATATACCCTTCATATGTGCAGAGATAGGGTATTAAGAAAAAAAATATAATGTAATCGAGAGGCTGGGGGAAATATAAAGCCTTTACCGCGAAAGCACCCTCTCATCAGAAAAAAAAGCAACCCGAAACAAACAAAAATTACAACGCTTAATTATGAAAAGTGTTTTTTTCCTTCGGCTCATCGAGGAAAATGAGTAAAAATGTAGAAAGCACACGAAACGAGTTAATGAGCGAAATTATAATGAAGTTTTTCCCCACTGCGCTGTTCGACGAGCGCGAACCACCCTTATGCGGCCTGGATGTGGGTCAGAGCTGGTTTGGGAGCTGCTTCTAATGGGGCTAATCAAATATTTGAAATTTGTTTTGGGTGGAGCTGATGTTGAGCTGTTGTTGTCTAGTGTAAAACTCATTACAATCGCAGCTCGCAACGTAGTTCGCAATGTTAAGCTGGGCAGACAGCAGTGCAGTCAGCCGTGCCGTATGCAGCGGAATATTTCATTAAATCGCTTAACATTGCAACAGTGCAACCCAAGCAAGCAGCCTACAACCAACGACCAACATCAACAGCCACATTAACACTGACAACAACAGCAGCAGCAAAAAGGGCCAATGAAGAGTATGGTGTGATATGAGTACAATAAGTAGGATTGGGCCAGCAGGAAAATTAAATTGCCTCTGCATAATTATTTATTATTTAATAAATAAGGAAAATGGTCATATAAATTATCAACAATTTTTTTTTTAACAATTATCTTGTAAAATGTACTCTATTATAATAAATAGTGTAAAAAGTTTGTCTTTTATACACAAAAATTTATATTTGCGGATATCTGTCAAATTTTGCAATGGTCTGCATAATTCCTTAATAAAAATACATGACGAAGGCTTGAACCGAAATCTGAGTTCATCAAATTGGAAACTTGATGCATGAACCGAATCTAAAGGCAGGTTGTTGATTCGAATCGTTTTTATTCTTTTTGAGTTTGAAGCTGAATGATGAATACACGAATATATCAAAGAGACTATAATTTCCAGTGACTATCTAGTCAGTTTGCTGCACACTATGATTTTTAAGTAGATTTTTAATCTATATTTCACACTAAATAGCTTACGGGAAGAACACCTTATGATCTGCCAGCTGCTATTGACATAGATTACGGGTACAACAGCCTTCATGAATGTTCTTTATAGTCCGAATTGTAGATGCCAAGGGGTATTAAAGTGTAAGCGCTTGCTCACAGACGAGCAGAGGAAAATGAAAAAGACAAAAACGGAAGCGGAAATGTTTAATGCGGGTTTGGCAGCGCTGAGAACGATGCGTTGACGCGTCCTCGCTGACCGGCTGGTTGACCAGCGCCAAGCGGAGGCCGAGACTGAGACAGAGCCGGGTCCTGTCCATGTGAGTTACACGCTAACGAAAGCCGATAAATATTTATTTGCATGTATGTTCGTGTGCGCCTGTGTATGTGTGTGTGTATGTTAATTAAGAATTTGCAGCAGGCTGGCAGACGATTAAATGTGCCGCCCAGCCCCCTGCCCCTCCCGCCCTTCAGAGCCCAGTACAATCGATGTGCTGGACACGCAGAGGATGACCATTAGTTCCGCTGGCCGGGGCAAGGGTTGGTAGCGATAATCGAATGAATTAATGGAACACGCAAATGAAATAAAAATCGGCAGTGCCAGCGATTCATTTGGATAAATCTCTTTACTCGGCAGCGAATACAAATAACAATACACATTGGGTTCTTCGCGGCCATAGCTCTTTATCAGATCTATAAGACGAGTTCCGTTTATACAATAGCAAACTATCGCACTGCCCAAGAACATTATGAAGCTCAAATCAGGACAATGAAAATGTTATCTGGAAAACATTTTCTGATTTTCCAGGAGTATAGCACTCTCTTTCAAAACGCCACAATTGTTGAAAGCTGTTCAAATTGAATCGGATAACCTTGATTAAATTAAAAATATTATAATATTAAATACAATTATAATATTAGGCTATATTAACTATTAACTGGAGTCATAAAATTAAAAACATTTGTATTATTAAAAGACTTTTATAAATTCTATAATATTTTCAACTTCCTGATGTGTGCATTGCCTGTCATTTTCCTGTACACTAACTTTACGATAAATTGGCAACTGGATAAAATAAAAATCGATATACATGTCAAAAATGCATAAACATCCAAATTATTGGCTGCTATGAAGCCCATGTGAACCAGGGGACTTTGCAAATGAGGTGCTCCATGATGTCTCAGAACATACTCGGTCCAATAGAGCACGCTCTGACGCGCAGTCAATGGGCGATCGCGGAATAGCTTCGAAAAAGCTTTTACTTTTTGCGTGTATTTGGGATTCTCGAGAACTTCTTTAATTTTGTCATGAAAAGGCTGCTCCTCCAGTGTTAATAAGCTCATGCTTAGACCGAACCCATCTTTGACCATTTTATCAGCATTGGCAGGCTGATCTCCAAACACAGGAAGCGAGAGCATGGGCTTTCCATGAAACTGAGACTCTGTGATGCCGCCTCTTCCAGCATGATTTATAAAGAGCCTGATCTTGGGATGCGCGAGAATATCATTCTGCGGTACCCATTCCGAGAATAGTATATTTTCTGATTTTCCAGGAATCTTATTTAGATCTTCCCACTTCCAAATAACTTTTTGCTTTAATTTGGCCAGCACATTGAACATTTTTTTGACGGTGCTGGGTTGTAGGTGAGCACCCTTTACATTGGAGCCCAGGCACAAGAGAATGGCGCCGTCTTTAGCATCACTTAGAAAATTTGCAATTTTTAGGGGCAACGGATCTGGTTTATCCTTTATTTGAATGCCTCCCACCTCTATGACCGCTGGAACGCTGGATCTGATAGGACCCTCGCTAAAGGAGTAAGAATTAAAGAGCACAAGCGACACATTCTTGTTGAGGTCTGCATAAGCCGGCATGCTAGGATCGTTGCCATAGAGTTCCCTGCGAAAATGGACGCGTTTAAACATATCATATTCCGAAATTGGATGTCCCACTTACTTGTAGGCTTTTGCGTTATCGAGTTTAATGGCATACGTGAATAATCGAAGTGCATTACTAATAATGAGATTGCCCAATCGTTCAGAAAAAAACGACGCTGGCTTGGCTTGGACACTTCCTAGCATGCTCTCAAACACCTCCCATTGAAACATTGAGGTTGCTATTACAACAGGCACTTTCAGCTTCTGAGCTATGCCTATCTGGAAATCGTTCAGAAAGTAACCGATCATAACCAGATCGAACTGATTATCCTTGTTCTCGTAGAGATCGATAACACGTCGATCTTTCATTACATTTCTGTTTTTCTTGAATGCAAACGACACTTGATCCCGCATGCGAAATAAAGCTGAAACCATATTAGAATTGTCTCTTTCAACCATGCTGGCTATGCTGGCATCCTGTGATAGCTGCTCCTCTTTGGTGAGTGGTATGTATATCAGGTTTATGTTTTTGTGAGAAACATGCGGCTTCAGAGTTGTGATCACCGTCACATTGTGTCCATTCTCGGCCAGCACCTTGGCCATTGAAATTTCCACAATTAAATGCGAGGGAAAAGCGCAGCTAAAAACTGCGAGAATATTTGCACCGAGAGCACTGCTCATAAAAACAACTCCGAGCGACGAGAAGAATAGAGTCTGAAGCGACATGTTGTCGGTTTGAGTATTAAGCTAAGACTGATCAGTCATGACTACTGGCTAAATTTCATAGTGAGCCACTGATAATTTTCGATGACATACGGGTACTCCCTCATCTTCAGGCCCTTGTAAATTTTTCGAATGTAACGAGCTGCTGTTTTTCTGCAATCAGTCGTTTTCAACTGAGGCAACAGTCCATGAGATAAGTCCACATTCAAATCTAAACACGCCTTATCAGTATGTATTAGGCGGTAATCTATGGCCCAGTGTAAATAAATATGTTGTAGAGTGTTAGCCATAAACTTTGTAGGAACTTAAACTACAACTAAACAAAGCAATTATATGAAAAGAGTTAATTTTAAATGACATAAATCCGCATGTAAACTATCAGAGAGAATCATAATTAAATATGATAATCCCTTATTTAAGTGTATTGAATATATTTATTATTTAGCTTTTGTTAAACATGACCCAAACCTTTGCGGGATATTTCAAAAGGTGACACCAAAATTAGGCTTTTTAAATGAAGATTTAAATTAATTGCTGTATTTTCCAGAGAGCGCAAATTATCAAAATACTCTGATTACATTATCAAAGTCAATATAAACTTACTTGGAAACAAAGAGATATACTTCTAATCAACTCAATTCTGATAATCTCGAGACATGTACATATAAACATAACTGATAGGCGTTCATTCACCTAGCCTATCAGCTATAAACGATAGTCAAATTGTTCACGTATTAGGTAATTATAAAGAAAGATATAATAAAATATGACAATCTTAGTTAATTTATTTAGTCTTTAATTTCTTGGCCTTTCCAACAAATTCTTTTCTGGCGGCCAAGACGTTAAGTTTTCTGTATAGACTCTTTAATACTACTTTACTTATAAATAAAAAAACAATTAATAAACTTATTAGCAATGCATAAACATCCAAGTTATTGGCTGCTATGAAGCCCATGTGAACCAGGGGACTTTGCAAATGAGGTGCTCCATGATGTCTCAGAACATACTCGGTCCAATAGAGCACGCTCTGACGCGCAGTCAATGGGCGATCTCGGAATAGCTTCGAAAAAGCTTTTACTTTTTGCGTATATTTCGGATTCTCGAGAACTTCTATAATTTTGTCATGAAAAGATTGCTCCTCCAGTGTTAATAAGCTCATGCTTAGACCAAACCCATCTTTGACCATTTTATCAGCATTGGCAGGTTGATCTCCAAACACAGGAAGCGAGAGCATGGGTTTTCCATGAAACTGAGACTCGGTTATGCCGCCTCTTCCAGCATGATTTATAAAGAGCCTGATATTGGGATGTGCTAGAATATCATCCTGTGGTAACCATTTTAAGTATAGTATATTTTCTGATTTGCCAGGAATCTTATCTAGATTTTCCCATTTCCAAATGACTCTCTGTTCTAGTTTGGACAGCACATTGAACATCCTGCTGACTGTATCGCTCTTCAAAAAGGTTCCCTTTACATGCGTGCCCAGGCTTAAGAGGATAACACCATGTGTAGCATTTTCTATAAAATCTTGTAATTCTCTGGGCAAAGGATCGGGCTTTTCCTTGATTTGTATTCCCCCTACATCTATGGCCCCCGGAAAACTGGGGCTAATGGGGCCCTCACTAAGGGCATGAGAATTGAAGAATATAAGCGATACATTTTTGTTTAGATCCTCATATTTTGGCATGGCCGGATCGCTTCCATAGAGCTCGCTGCAAAAATGATAAGCCTTAGAAAATTTCCTTAAGCCACTTCTCGTTAAGATCGACTTACTTATAAGCTTCTGCATTATCTTTTTCCGTAAGATACATATTCATCTTAAGGGCGCTGAGTGAAAGGTAATTGATTAATCTTTGTGCAAAAGTCATCGTTCGACCCTTTTCGACGGAAATAAACATGGATGGAACATAGGCTTGTTTGCCTATATCACCCAAGAAAATATTGAATATGCTTGATTGGAATAACGACGTCGCTATTACTACAGGCACTTTGAGTTTCTGAGCTATGCCTATCTGAAAGCTGTTAAGGTAGTAACCGAGCATAACCAGATCAAACTTGTTATCCTTATTCTTGTAGAGATCCTGGACACGGGGATCTTTCATCACATTACGGTTTTTGTTAAATAAAAACAACGATTCTTTTCGGATGCGAAACACTGTTACAAGCATGTTGGAATTGTCTCTCTCAACCATGCCGGCCAGGAGAGAGTCCCGTGATTGCTGCTCCTCCTTGCTAAGTGGTATGTAAATCAGGTTTATGTTTTTGTGAGAAACATGCGGCTTCAGAGTTGTGATCACCGTCACATTGTGTCCATTCTCGGCCAGCACCTTGGCCATTGAAATTTCCACAATTAAATGCGAGGGAGCTGCACAGCTGAATACTGCGAGAATATTTGCACTCAGCGAAACATTGATAAGAAAGGCAACGAGGAACAACGAGAATAAAGTCTTAGGAGACATGTTCGCGCTGTAAATATTCGACATAAACTAATCTCTAAACAGAAAGGGAAACGCCTTTTATAATGGCAGCAGGCAGACAATTTGACAAATATGAAACAATATATTTAGATAAGCCATAAGCTTCAATTGCTTGTTAACCAAGAAATACAGTTTCAATTCAACCCGATTATGATAACCGTAAGTGTTTTATAGCTGATACGAGTTCATTCGAACCAGCCGATAAGCTACTTTAATAATAATCAAATCATGCGATTGTTCTCTTAAATATTTACATCAATGTCAAATGACGAATGTAGAACGAAAATATAAGATTGAAAATATGGTACTACTTATTTATTGATTTATTTAGTCTTTAACTTCTTGGCCTTCCCAACATTTACTTCGTTTTTTGTATTGCCTGTCAGCTTTCTGTAAAGATTTTTTACAATTACTTTGCTTATTAAAAAAATAACAATTAGGGAACTCAATAACAACGAGTAAACATCCAAGTTATTGGCTGCTATGAAGCCCATGTGAACCAGGGGACTTTGCAAATGAGGTGCTCCATGATGTCTCAGAACATACTCGGTCCAATAGAGCACGCTCTGACGCGCAGTCAATGGGCGATCGCGGAATAGCTTCGAAAAAGCTTTTACATTTTGCGTATATTTGGGATTCTCGAGAACTTCTTTAATATTGTCATGAAAAGGCTGCTCCTCCAGTGTTAATAAGCTCATGCTTAGACCGAACCCATCTTTGACCATTTTATCAGCATTGGCAGGCTGATCTCCAAACACAGGAAGCGAGAGCATGGGCTTTCCATGAAACTGAGACTCTGTGATGCCTCCTCTTCCAGCATGATTTATAAAGAGCCTGATATTGGGATGTGCTAGAATATCATCTTGTGGTAACCATTTTGAGTATAGTATATTTTCTGATTTGCCAGGAGTCTTATCCAGATTTTCCCATTTCCAAATAACTCTCTGTTTTAGTTTGGATAAAACATTGAACATGTTTTGGACTATGTCGGCCTTTAAAAAGGCTCCCTTTACATTGGAGCCCAGGCTCAGAAGGATTGCACCATCTGTAGCATTCTGTAAGAAATTGTCAATTTCTTTGGACAAGGGATCGGGCTTTTCCTTGATTTGTATTCCTCCTCTTCTATGGCACCTGGAAAATTGGGTCTAATGGGACCTTCACTAAGGGCATGGGAATTGAAGAATATAAGCGATACATTTTTGTTTAGATCCTCATATTTTGGCATGGCCGGATCGCTTCCATAGAGCTCGCTGGAAAAAATTTGAATCCTTAAACACTTCCTTTAGAAGTTTTGTTGAACTCACTTACTCGTAAGCCTCTACATTATCTTTTTCGGTAAGATACATATACGTTTTAAACGCACCAAGTGTAATTAAATTGGTCAATCGTTGTGCAAAAGTCATTGCTCGCCCTTTTTCGACGGAAACAGACACTGTTGGAACATAGGCTTGTGCTTGGATATTGCCTAACATGATATCGAATATTTCCGATTGGAACATTGAGGTCGCTATTACAACAGGCACCTTTAGCTTCTGAGCTATGCCTAGCTGAAAGCTATTAAAGAAGTAACCGAGCATAACCAGATCGAACTTGTTATGCTTGTTCTCGTAAAGATCTTGGACACGGGGGTCTTTCATTACATCGCGATTTTTATTAAATATTAACGACAATTCCTTCCGCATGCGAAAGACAGCCGTCATCATGTTGGAATTGTCTCTTTCAACCATGCTGGCTAAACCAGATTCCTGTGACTTCTGCTCCTCTTTGGTGAGTGGTATGTATATCAGGTTTATGTTCTCGTGAGTAACGTGGGGCTTCAGAGTTGTGATCACCGTCACATTGTGTCCATTCTCGGCCAGCACCTTGGCCATTGAAATTTCCACAATTAAATGCGAGGGAACGGGACAGCTGAATACCGCGAGAATATGTGCACTCTGAGAACCATTGATAAGAAGAATACCGAGAAACGTCAATAACAATATCTGCGCAGACATGTTGGCGGCTTGAATTTTCCGCGTATACTAATTTTTAAAAAACTAAGGGCTATGCCTTATATTATCACAGCTTATATGAAATATTTTTGATGGTCACAATGAACATTTAAATATTGAATACTGTTTAGTTAACAATGATTTTCAAAATTGACTGCAATAGAATGTGTCAAGCTGATAATGCCAGCTACTTTTTGGCGGCAGTAACTATTTTAAAACGACAGTCTGTTCGATAAGTATTCGTAACTGATTAAGAAAGTCTACGTTTCGCTTATTATTTGTAAAAAACAGCGCATTGATCGTTTGAATATTTATATACATATATATTGCTTAGATTAAATTCTTTATGTTTTACGCCAAGGTTGGGCAGTACAAAGTCGATTAAATGTCAAACACTCGAATAAACATACACCCCCGTACACCACTATACAATCAACGTTAAAAGATCAAACAGGCTCTTTTTTATATAGATCTATATATACTCTTTTACTGGCCTAGGCTATGTACTGGATCATGACCTTACTCACTGCCAAAGCTATTGTAGCTCATAATTTCACCACAAGATAATGCTGTTACGTTTGATCATGCTGTCAGGCAGGTTCGCGATAAGTTCGCCTTATCGATGCCAATTTAAAGAGCTGTCTTGGCCGCATTGCCAAACAGTGTTTGCTCAACGAGCGTTCCGGCAACATGGCCTGTGCTACTAATCGTATTCTGCTACTCGCAATAGTTGGCGTTGTTTTTATCAGCGGCAGCCAAAGCGCCAATATACTGGGCGTTTTTACGAGTCTGAGTCCATCGCATTTGATTGTACAAATGTCCATGGTCAAGGTGCTAGCGGAGAACGGGCACAATGTGACTGTGGTTACAATTCTGAAGCCGCCCGTTACACACAAAGGTATCAACGTGCTGCAGCTGCCCCTCTCCGATGAGGATCAACGTATGATGAGCGCAACCATAGGCAAAATGGTAGCCAGCGATAACAGCAACATGGTCGTTTCTATGTTCCGAACTATGGGCCAAATGAAGTTAATGTTTGAGAAGATGAGAGATGCCCTGTTGGACCAGCGAGTGAAGAACTTATACGAGAACAAAGACAACAAGTTCGATTTGGTTGTGATTGGCTACTTCTTGAACAACTATCAGCTTGGCATTGCCCATAAGCTGAAGGTGCCAGTGATATTAGCGGCCACTATGCCACCAAATCAATTGTTTAATAAAATACTGGGCAATCCTCAGTTGGCATCACATGTGCCGGCAATGCCTGGGATCAGTGTTAAAGGTCAGCCAATGACATTCTCACAGCGATTAAAAAACTATATAACAACCTGCGCTATGGGAGTTTTCATGTGGATTTTGGAAAACAATGATGCCAAAGATTATAGGTAAGCAAGATTCCCAGCCTCATAAGCGACAAATATTTAAAATAATCGTATATTTCCAGAAAAGTGTTTGGCGATGATCCAAACATGCCCCCCTATGAAGATCTGGCTAAGAACGTTTCGCTCACATTCTTTAGTTCGCATGCCCCCAGCGAGGGTCCCATCAGACCCAATGTGCCGGCAATAGTAGAGGTGGGCGGCATTCAAATTAAAGATAAGCCAGACGAATTGCCAAAAACAATTGCCGATTTCCTGAGCGACGCTAAAGACGGCGCCATTCTCCTCTGCCTTGGCTCCAATGTAAAGGGTGCTCACTTGAAACCCGACACAGTCCAGAACATGTTCAATGTTCTGTCCAAACTGAAGCAGAAGGTCATTTGGAAATGGGAAGATCTGGATAAGACACCTGGAAAATCCGATAATATACTCTATTCCAAGTGGCTGCCACAAGATGACATCCTGGCTCATCCCAAGATTAAGCTATTTATAACTCACGCAGGTAAAGGCGGCATCACAGAGGCCCAGTATCATGGAAAGCCCATGCTGGCGCTGCCTGTGTTTGGCGATCAGCCTGACAATGCTAAAAAGATGGTCAAGGATGGGTTTGGACTCAGTTTAAGTCTAGCAACACTGGAGGAGCAGCCTTTCCATGAGGCTATTCTGGAGGTCTTGAATAACCCTCAGTACTCACAGAAAGTACAGACCTTCTCCTCTCTTTATCGCGACCGACCAATCTCTGCCCATAAGAGTGTGCTCTATTGGACTGAGTATGTTCTGCGCTATAATGGAGCTCCCCATTTGCAGAGTCCGTTGGTACACATGAATTACATATCAGCCAATAATTTGGATGTTTATGGGCTGTTGATTACTATCTTATTGGTATTTATTTTTGTAAGTAAAGTAATTTTGACTAAGTTATATAGAAAACTGTTCGGTAAAGCGCAGAAAACTAAAAAAATAAAAAAATCTTAAGCTGAAGACACTCAAATATATATTTCTTATATTATTATTTTTATATAATATTGCATCTGGTGCTTGAGTTTTCAAATTAAAAAATGTTTGCCTGTCTACAAAAACCAAGCACTGATAAAGCTGTTAGTTCGATTAAAGACTCTAGATAATGTGTTATAGATAACACTACTAGTTATCTGACCGAATAAAGCACCTGGCTGATTGTGAACGTATTTAAACATACCATACTAAAATTTTATAATGTTCAATTCTCAAATGAGTAGCAGCTTTCACGCTTTGGGGGAATATCATATTTAGAATAGAAAACCATTCAGCCCAGGAAAAAGATATATTAAATAAGAATAATTATAATCATAGCAAACTTTCGCTGTGCTAGTCATATGATATATATTAATAGCCCTTAAATACTTTCATATTTTCTGGCTAAGTAGTGGAAACCAAAACTCGTTTTTGACTGCATGTTTTATTACTGAATGTAAGGGGCTTACTGCTAAAATACTTGGCAACTTTATTACACAAATTCACAAAATACTTTTGCACGTCGCAATGTTGTTGTCTGGGTTTATATTTCCCATACACTTCAACAGTATAATTTGCAAAAAAACTAGAAATTCTTCAAACTACCCAACGTGCGTACTGAAAACAAAATAACATTTTGCAATAAGCAAATTTCAATTGAAATAGCAAACGGAAAAGGCATGCTGAAAACCCTCAATTCCAAACGCCCCTCCTAACCACACTCAAGCCGTGCGCCCAGCCCAACGTAGTCGATGGAACGTAGACGGTTTCGGGTTCTTTTTGTACAGAAATAAAAAAGAAAAAAAAAAGAACAAACAACAACAAACAAGAACATTGAAAAGCATCCTAGAAATCTGTGCAATTGTTGCATGTAGATGTGTTTGCACTTTTCTGCATGAAAATGCCAATTGTGGAGCAGAGCGCTGCCAATGAGGCGAGTTACGAGAGCCAAGACTTTGAGTATGCGGGGTTAGGATCCTCCAATAACATTTGCAGACAATAGTATTGTGAAACGCGTGAATTATTTTGTAATTAATGCTGAAATTGTTTATTGGACTACTCTTCGTTTGGCATGCACATTGGCCACTCGTCCAATCACATTTTTATTAACTGCCAGGTGAGAAGGCAAAAATTTCATTAGGTTTTTATCAACAATTTCGAGTGCACACATGCAAAAATATGTTTAAAAATATAAAATATGAAAATACCATGTGCACGTGGTTTTCCATTTACCAACGAAATACTTTTAAAATATTTTTAAATGAAAATACGATTTACACTTAGTTGGGCATTTTCATGGCTAGCAGCAAGTGGCTAACAAAAGTGGAAAAAGTATAGAAAAAGAACATTTTCAGCTTTGTTGGATGAAACCCTGCAAACAATTTCATATGATGGAATGTTATTTGCCTGAGAAAAATGAACGAAACCAATTAATTGAAAGAAGAGCTTATAGAAAGAGGTAGTCGAATATAATAATTACCCTAACCGGCTATAATAAATGTTATAGTAAAATAATATATTTTAACATTGATCCCTTTCATATGCATAAAAAAAATAAAGAAAAAGTGTGTGACAAAAAGGCTTGAACAAATTTTACAATAAATAATGAACAATTTGATTCTTTTTCTATGAACTGTAAATCGTTTCACAAAATTAGAAAACTCTCTTAAAACCCATTTACAAATTTGATCAAATTTTTCAATATATATTCATTAGGCTAGATTGTGTAGAGAAAAGCGACTTCCCTCTTCACTCGAGTGTTCACCCTCTGATATTGATCGACCCTGCATTTATCCATATTCGAAATTCGTTTCTCATGCATATGTTTTCTAAATATTTATCTATCTTTAATTTACTTAATTGCATAATGCGCCGCTTCAGGATCACCTCATGCATATGAATTTCATTCAACTAATTTGTTTTGCAATCCTGTTTCTAACCCTCGAAAAAAACTAGTTTTTAGCATTCCCGGCTGTTTACCTAAAAACTGTTCCCATTAATGTGTCGCTGTTGGCAGTTTGTTTAATTAAATGTGGAACAACACAATGCTCAGAAATGTTCACGATCCCGAGTTCCTTTGACAAACATTAAAAAGAAGAACGCATTTCCATTGAAAACCTTTTCAAGTGCTTAACATATCCAACAATACTAAAAAAACAGGAATCTCTGTCGAGTGGAATAGCAAAAAAAAAAAATGTATATATAATAGAAAAACTTGCCGCGTCATGGGCATTGTCAAATGAAAACATTTTACGCAGTAGTCGGCGCATAATTCATAAAGCCGCAGGGGATACGACGATCCCCGTACCAAATACCACATACCACGCACCGTTCCCATTGCCCCTGCCTCTGGCCCAGGCTGTAGTTGTTCATGATGCGTGTGATATGCGTAACCTACCCTACAACCTCAACCTCAAGTGGCAGTGGCAACTGATATGTCTCAATCAGGACACGGACAGGAGTATTCTCAACCCCGACTTCAGCCTCACCGACAGCCTAGTTCTGCTTCTTTCTCTGGCAATTTGCACCCCGCACGTGTCCCATGCAATTGCAATTACTTTCGGTTCAGCATTTTAACGATGGGAAACTGCATTTTCGGTTTCCCGGCTCGAAACTTTTTCGCGCACTTTGCCCAAATTCAATTTCGATTATATATATTGCCCAGAAAGGTTGCGTGGGAAAATCGTTTGCTGCGGTTTGTCTGTCAAAAATTTATTTTCCACTTTTTTCGTTTAAGATCATTAGGGCTTTTGTTTTTGTGGGCGTGGCTGTGGCTGTGGCTCTGAATTTCACAATTTTAAATTACTTTCATGTGTTCTGTGGTGAATTATGGCAAAGAGACATGGGCGACGCGTGCCCCAGTTGCCGCGGCCAACTCTGGATTTTCCAATTTTTGCATTGTTTGGCAACGCTCTCCCGTTCTTCTACACGCCAATCCTCTGGTATTGCATTTCATTTGTTTTGCTTTGTGGGTACCGAAGGCGGGGGCGGGGCTGGGGCAGCGATTGTAGGTAATTCAAATTTGTTGCTGCGTAAATTGAATTGCTGCGAAAGCGCATAAACATTCCAATCAATTTGTTGGCCAAATGAATTATGCAATGGAAATTTCACGAATTCCAGGTTTGGGCAAGGGCCGAATTCATTTTATTGGTTGTGGTCATTGCCAGATCGCAGCCAGTAACTATTTATTAGCCGAATAAATTTTTAGCAGCATGCGCCTATGCTTATTGCAGAGAATGTCCATTCTAGGTGAACACACACAAAATTTTGAAGACATCAAATTATGATTATTAGAGGTCACACATCAAACTTATTTTAAAAGCATATGAAGAGTCCAAACAGTATACGTTTACGAAGTTTAGTTTTACCAATATAACAATATCCAAAAGTTTGCAAAACCGAGTTTCGAGGCATCAAATTGAAAATTAGTTATTTAAATATTCGCGTGCTACTTTATCGAACAGGTACTTGGCCCCTCGAGTCTGTCAAGTTTACAAAAAAAAATATTCAATAAATTTTGAAAAAGGTCGACAAATATGTAACCTGATTTGGCTTAGCATTCCTGTGACTGAACGATTAACACATAATAAAAAATAAATGAATTTATTTTTCTGTTTAAGTTCACTTCGCTAAGCTTTGTTTGGACAAGAGTCGTATAATTAAACATTACTGTAATATTTGTTTATGTTATTTTGCCAACACTTTGCTGAATGGTTGTTCAAAATGCCTTTCCTCTTAGAGCGATTTAAAAACGCCTCTCCACAATAGTTGGCCGCAGAGAAGCCGAAATCATAATAAAAAGTGTACAAATCTGAGGGGCAAAAAGTGTTGGCCAAATAAAATCAATAATCCTTAAAAATACAATACTTTACGCATAAATAGCTTCCGTTTTTTAATATGCTTTCCGTCGAAATTCAGCAACAGCTATAACAAAACGTTTCGCTACTGAAAATAAAAATAAAACAGAAAAAATATTTGTGACTGAAAAACGCGCGGGATTTACGAAAGGCGTTTTTTGTCGCGCGCATTGTCGGTTGAATGCGACAACCAATTTGTAATCAAAGTAATTTTAATGCAAATTTTATATGTTGCTGCACGTAGTTGCAGCTGGAGCCAATGTGGGCGTAGACATGCCCGGCTGGGCGCTGTCAGTAATACAAAAGCCGTAAATAAATACAAAAGTGACCCAACAACGCGAAAGGGTCGCGAAAAACCCGGTGCTTAAACCCGGCAACAGCCCCAACTCTGCGATGCGCCACGGTTTATTTATTTAAATGATTTTATGACTTTTCCAAAAACCAAATGGTGACAACTTGTGGCGCTAAAAGTTGAAAGTTTTGTGGCCAAACAAAATGAACATAAAAACCGGACCATAAAAACGTATAAAAAAGGGATACCAAACGGACTTAAAGCCGAAGTAGAATTTCACTAACTTCGAATGAAAATGCAACTATGTAACTATAGAGAAGCTCGAAATACTCCAGCTTAACTTATCCTATCGTAAGAAATAGATCCTATATATGCATATAAATATATAGTTGATACTATCAAAGCTGACTTCTGCTGCTGAAGCCAATCCAATTTATGGCCACTTCTTTCTCACGCGACAAACTTAATGGCAATGTGCATGTACCCGCTGTAGATTTTCTAATAAACCAAAAAAAAAAAAATTGGATACAAACGGCACCTGTGTTCTGGTGGTGTTGTGCAATGTTAGAAGCAGCTACAAAGGCGCCGTGGAAACTATAAAATGGCCATTGGGAAAAAAAAACCCGACTTGGTCCATAATTTGAGCCGACAAATTTTCAATGCTTTGGGTCGCATAAATTTTCCCATTGAGAGAACCCATCTTCGAAAAGGTCACATTAGGCATCATTAGCCGAGAAAGAATTGCGGTTAAGGTGCGGCCACTGACTCGGTAGTCGGTTGCCTCCGATAGGGGCCCACACACATGACACGGTCAGGCCGCAAGAGGATTTGGG